TGAGTTCTTTTAGAACACCTATGAAACAGACTATGACAAGACACTTAATGATTTTATCTATTTGTTAAGATCAACTTCCTCAAAACTTGATGGACATTGACAATAGTGACACAGGAAATCCAGAAAAACATTCTCTTCCCAATGGAAAGGGATCGACCATAGTCAACTCGGTTGAACAAATGGTAAAGAGAAAAGCTAAGTCTATGATAGTCCCGTGTACCATTATCAAAGGTTCCATATGTTTATATTGCCAAAGAAAGGGGCATTGGTTGCGAAACTGCCAATATTTACCTAAGGATGTTAAAGTCAATAAGTTTGATTCTACTTCAGGTAAAGTCCACTATCTAACTCTGCTAAGTTTCTATTCTGAGATTCTTATTACATGATGTGACTGGGTCACATGTTGATGTTTTAAGAATCAAAGAAAACTGAAGGAACTTAAAGAAATAATATGCTGAATCTGATCGCATAGATGGATTTCTATCGTGTAGTTTGAAGATCGGATTCTTGAGCTACTTCTTAGGAGTTATGAGATGTTGCTTAGGAATAGATAACAACAAGTTTTCATATGGATTGTAAGGATAACTTTTTCCGCTAAGTTTTTAAAATAAAAGTAAAAATGATGATTTTATTTATTTTAAAATATCCTTACAATGGCATTTGAGGAAAAATTGTTGCTTATATGATTCCCATTAATAGCAAGAGTGAAAATATGAAATTGATTCCTTCATTTGTGGTAATGTCTAATTTTACCAAATAAGGAAAGATTCTCATCACCCAAGTTACAATTGGACCGGGACTTGGAATCATGCAAGTTATATAGCATGATGAACGAGAACTTTCAAGTTTGGAAAAATTAAGACTAATTACTTGTTCACATGGATGTGTGAGTCATGTAATGGACTAAGGGATCGAGTACATAGTCATGTGCACTGATTAAGTCCACCACAAAAGGATTGATAAGACTATTCGTCATAGTTTACTAAAGCTCACTAAATATGATTATACTTACAAGCTTAAGTGTAACTCTGAGACATTGGAAAAGGTTCCAATGTAAGGCAGAGTGAATAATAAGAATCAAATTAGGCAGAAGGATAAAAGTTTTGTGATCATCTTAATGATTAAGAAACCATATCAAAATTAGTTCTCTAAGGAAGTCTTAGTGCATTCTTATGACTAAGAAGAAGGGATCTTGAATTGTTGAAATGGTTAAATCAAGAAGATGAGCCATACTTCGTTCCAATACAAGTCTTAGAGTCATATTCCAAGATTGTAATTTGAGTGACATGTCTTTAAGAAGGTTTAAAACACGTGTCAAATGTAAGAGTGAAAGTGTCCTACTCGTGTACATTTGAAATTGGTAAGTTGTGATGTTTTGGATAAAACAAAGACCAACTTAGGCCAATTGTGTGAAGTGTTTGTCTTAGTTAGAATCCACACTATCTCTTGGATGTTTGACAAGAGAGTCTTATAGATCAAGAGGATAGTGGGAGTCTTACAGGTCTTGAAAGTCTAAAGAACTAATCAAGAATAGAACCTAGAGTTCTTCTCTAGCAAACGACTTAAGGTTTATAACCTATCGTGTTGACATATTCTGTGCCCATTCCAATTAAAGTTGGCTTTGCATATGAGTACTTAGAGTTCTCAATTGGTTACACAACAACTTGGAAGCAATGGCAGGCCCTTGAGCTTCCAGGTGGCAAGAAATTAAGATTGAGTTCAATCCATATGGTTTTGGATTTGTCATTATCTTTGTCTTGTGATTATGGTTTTGACAAATTCATATGGGTAGGAACTCATACACCATATAAATCTAAGTGTCATAAGGTTTCTCTCTGATTCACGAAAATGATGGTGAGGAAACACTTTCACTAAGTAGATTTTAGCTAGATAGCAATTGTGATGTTTGCATTCTCAAATTCGTTAGTGGAGCGTGTGTGGTTTACCAGCACACTAACCTGGACTTGTGAGAAGTGGCAAAAAGGTCTAAGCATTATGATTACGACATCCCTCTTCATAATTGTTTAGACAGACAAGTGTGCTATCTAAGGGAAGGTGTATGTTTTTGATAAAGCTTTATCAAAACAATCTAGTATCAGAAATCTGAACTTTGGTAAGAAAGTCAATAAAGTATTGATTTCTATAAGTCGAGCTTTTTGAGTACATGTCAAAGCTAGTGGGGGCATAAGTGTTATGCTAATAATCATCATGTTAGTGGGAGCATGATAATTATGATAAGTATTGCAAGTTAGCAATGTTAATTATAGAAAACAAAAGTTTCAACTGGGAAAGAGTTGTTTTGCTATAATTAAGGGAGAGGAAATTATACTTCATCTCAAATCTATAAGCATAGATCGTGAGGTTTTAATCATTTAGTCAAGGATATATATATATATATATATATATATATATATATATATATATATATATATATATATATATATATATATATATGAATTTCATGTTGGAATTGCTCAACATAAGGAAATTCTGTATATGGGTCCATTATTTGCATTCTAAAATTAGATTATGATTACGGCATCCTTTTTCATAATCTGAATTATGAGAACTTGGCAAATAGAAATGGAAATGTTAAAGCAAAAGACTGGTTTAGTCTTTATGTGAGACATCATCAATCGTGTCCCATATGCTTCGGATATAGGATCGATTACATGTGCTATATTCATCCTTTCTAAAATTTTCCAAATGCCTGGGGCATTAAGAAGGGAAAAGGTTTAGAACTGGATATGACTAAAAGGATTAAACAATTGTCGATGACAATCTAAGGTTTACCAAAGATTGGTTGCTCAAGGACAGTTAGAAGTATAGTGATAATTCTAGAAGGACCATATTGACACAATCTGTAAGGAGGCAACTCTTGTTCAGAAGTGATAGTCAAAATGGAATCTGGAAATGTTTCAAAGTTAGAATTTTCAATCTGTGTAAGATTAAGGAAACTTAATGGAAGAAGGATGTTTCCAAGGAGCCGATCTCCTTTGGAATGCTCTGTAATGGTTGTTGTCAAGACTTTATGACTTTGTGCATAACCATTACAAGAGGATCAATGCATATAAGTTTAGAATCCAACAGATTTCAGTAAATGGCATGAATTTGGAATTCTTGCATTTACAGTAAGGATTTGGGAGTGTGAAAAGAGAATCATTGAAGTTATGTTCAATTGATCTAGTTCACAAAGTAAAGATCATAGACAAACATAGTATGCATACTTGGTGTGTGGCATGACTAGTGTTTAGAAAACATAGTGTACATGCTTGGAGCATGGGACAACTATTGTTTTAAATTCAAGAATAAAGTTGATAGCTGAAACAGTATACAATGAATAATGTGTAATCATATGGTGATAAATAAAAGGTGTTTTATTTATGTTCATAGGTTTTGATACCATATTGGATTCAATTATTATTGTGTTTCACTTTACATGTTTTGACTTCCCGAATAAACTAGGTTATTCTTCCGGAATAACTAAGTTATTCAAACCATCCACAGTCACTCATATGTTGGAAGTAGATATGAATTAAGATTGTCATGGGTTGGCTTGTAGAGGTCTAAGGTGTTGGACAAAGGGTTACAACACTCATGAGTGCGCGTAAGTTCTGAGTATTGGATTCAACCCGCGCTTATTGGAATCACCTCATGGATTTTATCACGAGTGATCATGAGACGATAATATCTTATATTCTTCAAACCTAGAGATATGAGTTGTTACTATGAGTTGGTTGTACATTGATTGCACGAAAACGCATTTGGTAACTCGGTGCTATAAAATGTGCCTTTGTGTATGATTCAACAAGTAGTAAAACAAGCCATATGAGTCGAAGTTTATCCATTCCTTTTACCTTCGGGATAAAAGCGATATCTGTGGGCCCCTCGATGATTTGATGATGACAAATGGAAGTGCTCGGCCGGGCCAGGACTGATTTGATTTGTTCAATTAGTCATTCGTCATAAATCGGAAATCGGGAAACAACAAATGGACAAGTAGAATGATGATAATCCATATCTCAGTCCATATGATATCTAGAATGGAGGAATATATGACCCCTTATCTAATGGACAAGTCATTGATAAAGGTCAGCGTTTATCGACAAGGTCAGAGTTCGACAGAAGCTTTTGAGAGCTACGATTGCCAGTTGGTTCCTGAAGTCATACGCAATAATAGTTTTAGACTTATCCAAGTGGGAGACTGTTGGATTAATGTCTAAGTCCATAACTATAATTGGTAAGACTTGACCCGACCCGACATGGTCCATTTGGGTTGCATGGCATCATGCACTTGGATAGACTATAATGAGAGAAATAAGACACTTATGGTTATTAATATATTATAAGTTCTAGTATATTAATAATAAGAATAATAAGATTATTTAATTAGTATTGATCAAGAATTAATCTAGGATTAATTAAGTGATCAAAAGAAGACTAATTAAATATATGGGTTGATTGTGTAAATCATCCATACTTGTATAGTGGGCTAATGCTCCATGGATTATCTAGTTGGGCCAAAACCCATATGATGCTCCATGGTGTATTTGAACCCATGGACCCAAGGAAATGGAAAGTCATGACAATTAGGGTTTGCCCTAATTGTAACACTATATAAAGATATTATTCTTGACAAAATCGGCGCAAGTATGATTCTAGATAGGGCTAGATGATTTCATGAAGTGTAGAATTCTCTCAAGTTATTCCAAGTGTATTTGGTGTTGTATGAACCATTTGAGGTGTCACACTTGGGGCACTAGGCACTCAAGCTTCATGAAGACATTCTACATCAAAGAGGTATGTATTCTATCTTGTTATATTTATAGTTTTGTATGCTAGATTAGGATAATACCTTGGATGTTCATATTTGCATGTATAATAGAGAAACCATAGATCCAATGTATTTAGGGTTGCATGTACACATAGGAGTGTTAGAATGCTCATAACCCAACACATCCAACTTTCACGAGACTTTGACACCCAACTCTCCCGCCTTGTCAATATGTAACTTTATCTCCAAGATGTGAGCAAACATAGACTATGCTTGCCAATAGATATTGAGTGACTTTAAACTTTTCAAGAACTTGTGGACGAGGGAGAATAATTGGAGGAGGTGGAGGAAGTAAAGCATGATGTTGAGGAACATCATCTTTAAGAGATTTGGGAAGATCATAGTTGTCTGAACCAAACATCTATAATGGGAGAAAATCAAGTTAGATGATTCAAAATCCTTAATATAACACCCAATATGAAATATTAAGGCTAGGACTCAACACAATATTTTATAATTTGGAAGAGGGATGCCGTAATCCAAGCTATAAAATATTTGAAAGTAGGCGTATGACGATTCACCAATTTCCACCATGAAAAACGAAATAATTTATTAGGTTTTAATTGGATTTGAAATTCCTAGATCTTTTAAGATTAATTGAACTTTTCAATGTCATGTTTCAATCTCGAGTGTGCCCTCTCAAATTTTGTGACTGGGATGCCGAGGATCACAAAACAAGGTGTGAATAACCATACCAATTCACTTGGTACCCTTAATATTATCACCTAATCAGTGTGCCGGTTAACCACACACGCTCCATTGATCTATGACAAACATTAAGTCACCCTTCGTGATCCTTACTAGTCCAAGTTAGTGTGCCGGTTAGCCACACACGCTCCACCAACGACTTGGTAAGGTACAAAGTGTGAATTCCATGGGCTAGCACCAAGTTCACATTTTTCCTAAAGTAACTAAATAATCATTAAATAAAAATATTTAGTTACTTTATAATAATCATTATACTTTTAATGAGAATTTAAAGTCATTGTCCAACTCATTCGGCTAACGACCCTCCACCGATCAAGCAAGCGGTGGGTGAGAGTGGACACCCATTAAGTCGCCATTTTATAGGCAGCAACCTTATACCCACCTTATAGACCAGCTTCGTGAATGAGGCCTACTAACGGTAAAACGACTTGTTCTTATACACACATACATATATATATACATATATATATATATATATTTATATATATATATATATATATATACATATATATATATATATATATATATATATATATATAATTAACCATTAATGTTATAAATAGTATAAGTGTTGAATTTTAACTTTTAAAATTCTAAGTGTTGGAATTAAAGTTTATTAAAGTGTGTGAAACTTTTCCAAATTCCAAAACTTGAGGGCAAGTTTTGTAACTCTTCAAAACTTCTCATTTCATAACTTATGAATTAAAGGTTCATAAAATGAAGACTCTTCATTTTATGTAACTTATGTGTTTTTAATGTGTGTTAAAGAAAGTTGACCTTTGGATATCCATAACTTGAGGAAAAATTATGGACTCCATTAAAACACATAAATGATCAAAAATTAATCCTAAACAATTCAGCAAATAATTCCTATCATCTTCTAAATTCATAAGAACATGAACATGATTATCAAAGTTTCAAGAATTATATGAACACATACAAAGCATGAAATTTTGATATATGCTATTGTAAATGGATTAGAACAACCATTACACTAACTAAAATAAGTTTTAAAACATCAAAACAGTTTAGGGTAAAGTTTCTAGTCCATTTCCAGCAGCTAAAGTCGAAAATCTGCATTCTTAACCTTCTACTCGCCGAGTGCACGAACCTACTCGACGAGTAGGATGAGTTTTGCCTTGGACTCGGCGAGTCCCCCCATGCAGACAGCAAAAATTTCGACTTTTTTTTCACTATTTTGCATCAAGTATCAAACAAGCAAGCCTAGGATTTGATACCACTGTTGGGTTTTGAGCAATCTAACACTTCCTAAGTGTGCATGCAACCCTAATAAACCTTGGATCTATGTTTGTCTAAATACATGCAAAATAATAATTTTTCCAAGGTTCATAACCTATCTAACATGGCATGGGGTACTTTTAAACATAAAAGAATTAGATGAGATTACATACCTTTTGATGATGAGTTTGATTCCTAAGGAGTTTGAGGGCCAAGCACCAATAGTGTGAATGCCTCAAATGGAATCACAAATCACCACAAACTCTTGGAAAACTTTGAGAGAGTGTATACACACTTATAAAATCGGTCACACACAAACACACATACTAGTTACACTAGTTTCACTAGTGGCTATTTCATGCAACATAAGCATGCTTATATAGTGTACATGATTAGGGTGAAACCCTAATAACCCATGACCTTTCCTTTTCCAAGGATCCATGGGTTAAAAGCTCCATGGATCATCCATGGACTTCCATACAAGCCTAGCCCATTAACAAATGAGTGTTAGCCCACACCATATAAAACCAATAGCCCACAATCTAATTAGTCTTCCTTTTAATCTCTAAATTAATTCATAATTAATTTAAGACTAAGACTAATTAAATAACATGACTTCATATTAATATATTATAACTTATAATATATTAATAATCATATGTGTACAACTCTCATAAAATTATCCATAAATAGTTTGGATGAAATGCAACACAAATGGACCATGTCGGGTCGGGTCAAGTATATACCAAATAAGTTATGGACATAGACACCTTATCCAACATCAAGTCCTTGACTGCCCCCACAAACTTTGAATTAAGAGAGTTCACTCTTAACTCGGTTGTTTGAATAATATGATCCACCTTCTCTAATATTCTTGACTCTGAGTCTTTAAACATGCCCGAAACCTTACTCACCATTCGGGCTTCAAATGCTTTCATCAGACCATCACGTTCAAAAGTGGAACCTGAACTACCTCCCCCATATATGCTTGAGAATGAATAATGAAATTCATCTTTTTATTCAGAATTTTAAACTGCTTCATGGACATGAGCATATGGTCAAGAATGTCTTCTTCTTCATCATCAAATTCTAATGCTTCGAAAGTTCCTCCAAAACCTTCTTATTTATTTTCATATTCTTCCATTGGTTTTGGTGGATTAGTTGATTGGGATGAGAAAATAATGGTGAAAGGTTCATTGATAATGTTTTCAAAAGTAGGTGACTCATTGGATGAAGTAGTAGGGATGATATATGGAGGTAAATAAACAAAAGCACTAGAAACAATTTTGATTGGAAGAACAATAGGAGTACCTTGGGAATATTTTGGTGCTTCTTGATGTAAATATCCTTCACCCATGTTGACATTTACATCTGTATCAAATACATGTATAGTGATGTCTGAAGTTCGTACCTCCTCATGAAATGATTTGGCAGATGAATCTTCGGGTGGTATGACAGTAGTCTTCTCAGGAGACGAAGGTTCGGTGCGAGGAGTAGCTTCGGGAGTTTTCGGCACTTCTTCATCTTCAGAGGATGTCGTCGGTATAACAAGTTGTCTTTTCTTAGTCTTCTTCGTCTTCTTAGAAATCCTTTTGGCCATGTCTTCAGCTCTTTGTTTCTTAGATGAAGGAGAAACAGGAGCTGGAACTTCTCGTATAAGAACTCCTTGATGAGTAAGATGAGGTTTTCGAACCACACTTGATGTCGGAGATCTTTGCGAACCATTATACTTCTTATTTAGTCTTCAAAAAACACCAAACTTTGATGGAATAGTGACTAAAGTGGGTTCATCAACAACAGGTTCAACCGGTTTGACCAAAACATTCAAAACTTGACCATCTTGCTTTGTCGGTTTCTTAGAAAACTTTGTGTTCTTCTGTAACGACGTAAATTTTAATACCATTTTTTTTTCATTTTTGTAAACACCAAAAACATCGATTAATATTTCAAATTCCAAACGTAAACAATATTGTCACAATAGAATACATCCCAAAGATCATAAAATAGTTTTTCCGATAATGTGTACGATCACGCCGGTGCCTTCCCACGCTCCTCGCTAGTACCTGAAACACATCACACAACAACTGTAAGCATAAATTCTTAGTGAGTTCCCCAAAACACAACCTACGCACCATACGCCTTTCCAGGCCCTGACCTTCCAGTCCATGTGTCTCAAGGGACTTCCGTCCCGACTGGGTAAGCCTTCCAGTCCTACCCACGTCAACCTTACGGTCCTCATTACAACGCCTTCCAGCCATAACATATTCGCCTTTCGGCCCATAACATAATGCCTTCCGGCCCATATCAAGCATATCATACATGGCACATATAACGATTAACTTATCACACATAATGCATATATCTCATATCATATTCGACCTTCCGGTCACACAGTCAAACCCTTCCGGGTACAGTATAGTGAGAAGACTCACCTTGTGGAAAGTCTAAGATCTCGCGTCCTCGCAATCACCGAACCCTAACGACGGCTCAACCTCTCCTAAACATAAAAATATCATTTAATACACAAAGACTTCCACCACTAAAACTTTACCCCTTATCATTATTCCTCAGAGGGTAAAAGACCATTTTACCCTTCCTTGACCTAAAGTCTTCATGTTGACCAAAACCCTAAAAGTCAACAAAAGTCAAACCCTGAGAGTACGCGGGGCGTACTCTAGATGTAAGCGGGGCGTACATCGCCAACTTCCCCCCTGGATCGAGGTCTCCACCCAGTACGCGGCGCGTACTCACCAGAATCAGCCACCCTCCATTTCTGGTCTTAATCGGTTAAGCCATTACTACAACTTCTAGATCCGACTCTTTTAGTGTATCTAAACCCATAAAGTCGAGACCTTTAAGCCTTAGCATGGCTGTAAAGGCTCCAACATCACATAACAACCTTTTATTCAAACTCAAGGATCTAGATCTCATGCATGGTGCAATATCCACGACCAAGTTGCCATTTTTATGAGTCTACAACTCCAATAGATCAGAAACATGAAGCATCTAAGCTTATGGAGGCCATTTGCACAAAATTCTCCACCTTTGGGACTTAAACCCTAGAAAATGACATCTAAAGCATACAACAAGAACCAAGTGTCAAGATCCGAACTTTTTACCTGAAATTGAAGCTTTAACCCTTGCAAAGATCAGATCTACACTTGAGCACCACTTCTAGCCTCTCCAAGAAGTTCTTCTTCTCCTTTGCAACCTTAAAATGGCACTACAAAGCTTAGAATGCACACACAAAGGCTTAAGGACGATGGCACACACTATTTAGGGTTTCACTCTGAGGGGTGGTGGCTGAGAAGTCCAGCCACACATTCCTTTTATAGCCTCAACAAAGGAAATTAGGGTTTGGGTCTGAATGAGTTACGTCGGGCATAACCTTGGGTACGCCCCGCGTACCTAAGGGGGAACGCATCCAAATGAGGCGCGTGAGTATGCGCAGCGTACACCTTGTACGCCCAGTGTACTCGCCTACCATGAAAACCCTAAATCATTAACTTAATCAAGATGCAAGGCCAACAGAAGAATACCTAGATTTCGGGCTGTTACATCTTCGGTTCTTGAAATATGTGCTCATGAGTAACTGTAATAGTCTTCGTTGATTTTCTGGATTTCTTTGAAGGACCTGCATCTTCTTTGGTAAATAACTTCCCGGTTTCAATGCTAGGATCAACCATCGTCATATATTCCATTAACACTAAATTTGATGGATCAACACGCTTTAACATTGCGTCAAGAATTCTTGCAATGTGTGTAAATATTTCAGAATCATCAGAAACCTCCTTGGGAAAATGATATTTCATGAATTCAGCAGTTTCCTCATCAGCAGACACCTAAATCCCTTCTTTATCATAGAAATATCAAAGAATAAGACTCCAATATCTTGCACATGAAATACCTTGCACAACATTTGTGTTTTCTACACTCTTCTGAAAATTCCTTCCATAGCAGTGTAGAGAATCGACAGGAATATCATAGTACACACCTGCAATATGGCATATACTTCCATCCTTCCTTTATCAAGACGAACATTGCGACCAATCAAGCAGCATAAGAAGATTCCGAATAGAAAATTCCAGATAGTCAGAAGACCAGACTTCTTAAAATCACTTATCTTCGTGAGTGGGGGTTGATCACCAATCTCATTAAACATATGATTGACTTGAGCAAAACAAAGAGCAGTAAATGGTGGTGAATAAGGAATTTCGAGAATCTGACAGAACGATTTCTTTGTTAAACGAAGCTTCTTGTCACTAACCAGATTAAAAGTAATGGCATCTAGGGCTTTGATGTATGTTCCAGTGGATCATGCTATTGAAAGCTAGGATAGAGGAACTGCAAAAGAGTTGAACATGGTGGTTGAAAGAACACAACTTTTGAGAGCAACCACCAACATCTTCAAATTATCAGGATAGAGTGATACGTCTTCTTTGACTTGATAGTTGGTTCCTTGGATCTTCATGATCGGTTGAGAAGTAATGCCTTCTATAGCTTGGGATGTTGCATCAACATTAGCATGAGTAGCCATGATTAGGGTTTGAAAACTTCTAAAGAACAAATCAATTTTCCAGATAGAATTTCAGAATATTTCTTTTGAAAGCGTAAACTGATAAAGAACCATTGAATCCCCTTTTATATGTATCCCTGAAGTTTGAATTTGAAGTGGGATATGCATTTAATGAAATCCAATGTGGCACCTTGAAACTCGCACCATACGCTACAAAAGTAGCCATGCTTGAAAAGTAACTGTCACTTATCCTTGAAAACCGGAAAGAATACAAGACGTCACATCCAACAGCCTGTTTATTTCTCCCAATAGAATTTTAATCGTCACCAACCTTCGGATGTAGGTAAGGCTCGTTCACTTTTGGATTTAAAGAAAATTCATGTGCCAGACTTTTGAAATCATAAGCCTGAGTTGGTATTACTCAAAACCTCAAGGATTTCGTGAGTGCAGTGCTCCAAAGAAAAAGATAAGAATCAAATAAAAAATTTTTTGATTTGTGATGTCAAAAAAAATTTGACACAAAAGGAGTTAAACCCCAGGAAAAGGTTACTTCGTTAATCCTCAACAGAGATAATCAATTGCTTCTGTGTTTTCCCGTGAACTACAATCAAAAACTTATAGGGATGTTTCAAAGGGCTTCTATTCCAAGGCTTCATGGGTGTTATACATGATTTCGTTACATATCAACCAAAACATAAGGTGCGTAATTATAACAGAAATCACTTGTTTGATCAGTGTAATCAGTGACAAGTATGTTGTGGAATGATTTTGAAAGTAACTTTGAAATCAAATGAAACTCGCATGGAAATCATATTCATGAAAAGAATTTGTGTTGGATCATGTTAGGTAACAAACATCGTGGGTTTCGATAGTTTGATCAAGATCACTCATACTAAATGAATATGATTTGGAGTTTCGAATCTAGGTACATAAACAAATGTTAGAAACTAGAACAAAGTTCCCTGTCAATTCCTTAAAAATTTAGAGAATTGGGTTTCACTTTCATCACGGTGTCATGATGTCAGATCATAAACATAGATTTTTTATATGTATAAGTCTCGATTGATTTGATCAGAGACCTCTTGGACATATGTCTTCGTGTGTGATCGTGTAAGAAGTTTTTGATGAAAAATATTGGTTTAAGAAACAACTTTTACCTCTGTTATTTTGGACAAAACAGTAAACTCTTAACTCATGTGAGAAGAGTCAGGTAGCTCATGTGACTAATGTGAATACAAGCCTAACTTGGGAAGAAATTTTCATATGAACCATTTCATTAAGGCTTTCGTGAAACAAACATAGATTCAATAGAGGCATTGGTCAACATGATGCAGCATGCTTCTAGGGACACCTTAACTAGTACAAAAGTTTCGAAATATTTACCTAGCCCTAGAACTGCAAGAATCAACCATTGAGATTCATCTTGGATATCTGAAATGAAACACTAAAACAAAACAATAGAAAACACAATATTTTGTGATTTTTTATTTTTCGAAAATAAAAGAGAAAACAAATAAAAATCTATTTGTTGTTTTTGTATTTTTCGTAAAGAAATGAATAAATAAATGAAAGATCTTTTTGTTGTTTTTGTATTTTTCGAAAATAAAGTCAATATAAACGAAAATATTTGGAATGTACCAGACACACAAAATTTTTAGCTCCTATTTATCAAAACGAAGGCTGTCGAAGCGTTGACTATGAACAGTAGCCTTTGACTTTGAAAGATGTTCAATATGTTTTTCTTCTGAAAAAGACTCCCCTTCGACCATACTAAGTCCTCCTGAAATTCTCACAAATGATTTTTCATCAAATGGTTTCGTGAAAATGTCAGCCAATTGATCAGTAGTTTTCACGAAATGCACTTCAATATTACCATCCTCAACATGATCTTTTATAAAATGGTAACGAAGAGTAATATGCATGGTCTTCGAATGTTGCACAGGATTATGACAAATATGAATTGCACTTTGAGAATCACAATATAATGGAATTTTCTTCATATTTATTGCATAATCATGCAATTGACTTTGAATCCAAATTATATGTGATGTGCAAGCTACAGCAACAACATATTCTGCTTCAGC